TCGTATTTTCTCAATGTTTACTGTGTACGAAAAAAATGCTGTTACAAATTATGGCGAATATCCTGCATTTTTGTGTTGTAGGTAATAATTTGACTGCGCATCTTTTTGTGCAAAATAAAAATGATCTTCATCGATTGCAACAAACACGAGTTAAATAGAGATTTCTTTCTTTTTTCATTAATATCGAGTTGAACATAATACATACATAGATGGTCTTAAATTCTTTTAATATTTTCATCCTTTGAAATTTCACCTACTCATTTTTAGTTCAGTGATAATAGTCTGGCAAACAAAGATAGTACTATTCTGTTCTAGTACTTACAAATAGTATATGATATTTTTCATATGATTCGTTGGTTCAAGAAGGGTTCCAACAAATTCGAGGAACACCAGGGCGTTTTGAAATGAGCTCTCGATGAGCAGGCGTCTCCATGTATGTATTGAAATGCATAATAATCATTTCGAGCATCCCCTTCGAAGGTACAGTAATTTCTCCCTAATTCGCGCTCAGGTTACTCACAAAAATGGACAATTTGAGAAGAGGAGATACGATTATTCGAGCCTTGCGGCTCGTTTTTATAGTTACCGATTGTCAACAACTATAAAAACGAGCCACAAGGCTCGCATAATCGTATCTCCTCTTCCCAAATTGTTTATTTTTGTCTGAGCGTGAATTAAGGAGAATTTACTGTAATCAGTAGACTACGGATTTGTATGCAAAATAAAAATTGTCTAAGTTGCATGTAAGAAACATAAGTCAGATGAAAACGTCTTTCCTTTTTTAATAATTTTAATAAGATGTATATAATATAAAAATATTCTCAATTTCTTCTCGCATCTTAACAGTTTTGTTCTTAACTTAGTCATTTTTGTCAAAAATGCATAAAATCCGTAACATAGTAATCAAATATAAAATGNATTTTTCATATGATTCGTTGGTTCAAGAAGGGTTCCAACAAATTCGAGGAACACCAGGGCGTTTTGAAATGAGCTCTCGATGAGCAGGCGTCTCCATGTATGTATTGAAATGCATAATAATCATTTCGAGCATCCCCTTCGAAGGTACAGTAATTTCTCCCTAATTCGCGCTCAGGTTACTCACAAAAATGGACAATTTGAGAAGAGGAGATACGATTATTCGAGCCTTGCGGCTCGTTTTTATAGTTACCGATTGTCAACAACTATAAAAACGAGCCACAAGGCTCGCATAATCGTATCTCCTCTTCCCAAATTGTTTATTTTTGTCTGAGCGTGAATTAAGGAGAATTTACTGTAATCAGTAGACTACGGATTTGTATGCAAAATAAAAATTGTCTAAGTTGCATGTAAGAAACATAAGTCAGATGAAAACGTCTTTCCTTTTTTAATAATTTTAATAAGATGTATATAATATAAAAATATTCTCAATTTCTTCTCGCATCTTAACAGTTTTGTTCTTAACTTAGTCATTTTTGTCAAAAATGCATAAAATCCGTAACATAGTAATCAAATATAAAATGAAAAAAAAATAAAGTGGAATAGGGTATATGTTTATATGAATCTTTTTCATTACCGTTAGGTGCCGAATTAGACATAAAATATTGTTTACTTATCCTGGGACACATTGTCTATGAGGATACGATGGTTTGGAACAGTTTCATTGATTGATAGTTGCCTTCTTCGCTGTCTTTTGCGAGGGAATCATGAAAAAGGAATCGTGAAAAATCCGTGATATATTTTGTTTATTTTTGGTTGCTGTCCTCAGGTTGCAACTGGCGTATGTTACTATTCAAAAGTATTTGTATATTTAGTGATCGTAATCGAGAGCTTTTTATTATTGTTAGAAATGAATAGAGATGTGTATATTTTTACAATTTTTATGAGTTGAAAATAATGTAACAATAGTTCTGAATTTTTCAAATATTTCCGTGGTTTCGCGTTTGATTAATTGATTTCTGCCGTAAATGTATAATTGTATTTTAGAAGACCTGCCAATTGTACTATTTTCTTAAACTAAATAGTTTACTATTATTTTGTCAGGTGTAATCTCTTTTCATAACATCTGTTGTAGTTTCAAAAATGCTTGTCTTATATACGACAGCACTCACATTAAAACAGTAGAATATAAATACAGAGTACAAATATTTGAGATAACTGAAGGATGTAAAAAGTACCTGTTTTGGGTTTGAATTTGTGGAAAAGTGCGCTTTTCGCGATCTTTATTTGTTTACAGCACATGTTCAACGAAATTTTCAATATACATATAAGTTACATCTACAAAATGCATTTTAAAAATTTTCATTATAGGCTCGGATAAAAAAGTGGTAAAACGAGAGTTTTTTACATTTTTTTACTCCAAGTAGTAGCAAAATTGGAAAAAAATAATTTGAATCATTGTACAGTGAACTAGTTCTTCTGAAATTTACAAAAACAAAATTCAAGTCATTTGGACCAGTTTTGAAAAAGTTACACCGTTTTAAAAGATGTGTGGACACTTTTGCTTTATACTGTATACATACAATTTCCAACTTATTAAAATTGTTAAAGAAAAATATCTCTGTTTGGCTTCCTCTTTTTTATTTCAGTAACAAATGTTCTCTTCATTTACGAAAGCTACGCACCAATATGCAGTAAACCAATTTGCTTAATTGCTAAATGTTTTTCAAACTGTCATAGTAAATAGTTTGATGTAAATCTTTATAAGATAACGTGTCAAGTGGTAGCACATAAAATTAGTGCTGGATATACCTTGTAATCAAAGTGACTGGTTCCTTGATAGAGTAATGAGGAAGTATCTGATAAGATTAATGAGAGCAATAAGGAAAAATGATGAGCACGCATTGCTCGAGTCTGGCGGTTTCCTAGCGGTTTACAAATTAGAGCATCAACGCTATTCAAAAGTTTAGAAACATCGTAGTTCGTTTTAACGACTAGCCAGATACCCTAATCAACTTCGAGGCTGGCAGTTGCTGATACATCAATGAATCATCCAAAGAGATTCCGCTCTGCCTAGATACATGCCGTTCGAAACCGATTAGAACACCAACAACAAGTTCCAAACTCTCATATCACCAATACAATACACGCGATAACCTACACGGACACAAACTCAGTCCAGAAACATCGATTCCCCGATCTCCCGGTGACACCAAACAGCATCCTGGGGGCGCAACAAAAAAAAAATCTGGGAAAGCTTGCATCCGAGAAAAAAATTGACGCTCGCGTCGCGTAATGCAATAAGTTTCGCGCAATTCGATCAGCTCTCATCTCGTTGATTAGGTTCGAAAGGGTCCGGCACAATCTCCACGGTCAAACAGAGCGGCGCGGACTGTTGTAGTGCATGCGCGGCTGCTCGCCCCGTACGTGTGCGTGTTAGGCCGCGCGCGCGTGTTTGTACGTGCGAGCATTTTGAATGTTTGGATAGGCGCGAGACTACGGTGGCCGGTGCGCAGAACTTGATCGTGTGCGCGCTCGTTTTCGGTGTTGCCGGGTCCGGGCCGCGTGCGTACGCGAGTCGAGTGCACGGTTCGAAGTGTACACACGGAGCGGGCCGTGTGGGATACGCTTGTGTACCGATGCACACACTGCGATGATTGCGTTCACGCACGCGTTTCACGCGTTCGCCACGATATTTGGCGGATCGGCCGAATGCGGGGACGCCGCCGCGGCAGACTGGCCGCCGAACGACGGAAAGAGACCCTGGCCACGGGCAGAGATAGGGATAGAGATGGATAGATAGAGGGAAAGAGAGAGAGAGAGAGAGAGAGAGAGAGAGAGAGAGAGTGAGAGGGGGAGAGAGAGCAAGAGGGCGCAAGCCGGGACGAGAAGGGATTGGAAACGGGACTGGAGTAATGTCTATTATCGGATTCAATATCGGTGCTCTTGGTAAGCCAGTATACAAATACCCCTATGGCACGGTAATAACAACATAGGTGCACGTGAATCCGATTCTCAGCCGCGAATCCTATATGCGACGGATGGCTGCGGTCACTGCAGTCGGTGCATCGCTACCAGACAGATACAAAACGAAACCTGGGTTTCGCGCACCCTATCAGTCGAAATGGGAAATGCAAACGGCAAGCGAGCCACTTTCAGCCGACGTCGATTCTGTTACCCGCGAGTTAAAGGCAGGAGGGCAGGAAAGATTCTTTGATATCCATCCTGGGTCGCTGATCAATTTTCTTGATGAGTTGTCGTGTTCTACGTAAGCGTGAATGCTTCTCCAGCGGCCGGACCAAAGAGTGTAAATCGAATTTTGGCTGAGTTAATGTATAACTCGTCGTTTTTTAAACAAAAGAAAGCGTTTCGAGATCGAATATGATGTCAACTTTCATATGTAAAATCGAACACCAGATCCGAGGATAGTGCAGCTGGTTACTGTGAGATGACCAATTACTGTGCCTTTGGTTCGTTTCCGGGCATAATTAACTTCATGTTTATAGAATAAGACACATTAAATGTATTCGTTACAGAACAAACAAAATAAGAGAATAAACAAATTTAATTGTCTTGATTAAATTTATACAAAATAAACAAAGTAAAAGAATGAAAAAATTAATTACTCAATTTATTAAATTTATTCAGGATAAACAAGATAAAGGAATAAAAACGTTTAACTTCTAAAATTAAATTTATTGAAGAATGAACAAAATAGAAGAACGAAAAAATATAATATCTGTTATTATAAAGTTAATTATGAACGAAACCTATGTTGCACTTTAACCCTTGTGTGTACAACCGGGTATCTATTTCTTTCTTTCCTTTTGCAATCTTTAGTAATTCTAGGCAAAATGTTGCAAAACCGCTCGCACAGTAACCAGCTCCACTACCTTACAACTTCGGATTGACGACAATGATTCATCTGTCATCCCCTTTCTAGGTTAAAACTAATCTTGATGCCTAACCCAGACCGCGTTCGCCTCTGGTGAAACGATGTGAAACAGCATGAAACAAATAAATATGAAGTAAGAATAAGGAAGGGGAAACGATGCCACGTGAAAATTGTTTCTTTTTAATTTCAGAGCCGTGGTAGAAGTGCTGCTTGCTGCAGGCGTCGACGTAAATACGCGGACGTCTGCAGGAACCGCAATGCACGAGGCAGCGCTCTGTGGAAAAATGGAAGTGGTGCGGGCTCTACTCGACAGAGGGGTTGATTTGGGCATCCGGGACTCAAGGCAGAACACGGTCCTGGATCTTTTGGGACAATTCCCGCCGCACGTCACACAGGATATTACCGCAGTGATCAAAAGTGCGTGTACGCGATGTGTAATCCTCTTACAATCGATTTCTACTTTCTGTGAATTAGAACGGAGCAATTATTGTGGTATCAAAACAGATTGCCAGAAAAATTGGTATTTATTGCTCGATATTGTAAGAACTTAGCTGTTAAGTCTAGATCTTTATATAGCGGCACATGCGACTTAACGGTTGTAATATGAAGAAAGAAGAGTTTAACAATATGGAACACAATATGCTAATTACACTTAATGCAATGTAGGCCTTGATAGAAATCGTAATAGCAATTCATAAACTACAAAGCTATGTGTTTTCGAGAATAATGTAATGTAGCAACTATCTATGATTGAAACGATTGCTACACACTACAATATTTATGGCTGCTGACGTGAACAATGTTATTAGACTGTCGGTTCAAAGCCAGTGTTAAGATCACACCTTTTAATTTCTTTATAGTATTGTAGAGTGAGAAAACCCGGAACAGAAACTACCATTGTCAATTAGGCAGTTTGAAGCTATAATAGAGCATGCTGGCTGCATGCGGATCATGGAAATCCAAGAGTGTCAGTTGATTCTTAGAATTCTATGCAGCTTCAATATTCTTAAAACAATGCAATTCTTGGGATCCTTTATTGTTGTCATTGAAACTGTCTCTTCCGGTGCTATTATTTAAACAGTTTCCATGATCCATGTTGCTCCTGTCATGTTTGCCAGACCTTAATTTAGATGTAGTGCGTTGTTGTTGTCAAGCCTTTACACTCGAAATTATTTCAACTCTAAATTCAAAACATGTTTTCTGATCTACAGTATTTTCATTTGATATGATTTATTGCATTTTATTCGTATAAAATTGACCTATTCTTTCGCACAATATTTACGCTTTTAATATAGCTTTCGAAATATAAAGAAATTATTTATTATTAATTATTATTTTGAACTGCGATATAACAATTTCTAGTGGCTCCTAAGAGTCGCCCACTCGAGTGCAAAGGGTTAAGTACACAAATCCGCTACAGAACAGTGATTGGTTATGTAAATTAATGAAACCTAGGACCGTTCAATATATAGGGTGTTCGTCTATAAATGACCAAGTAAATTGTTATATATCTCGTAAATTGTTAAAGGTGCGAAGAAGTTTAATAGGAATAATTTACACGGTTTTGAGTCAGCTACAAGGTACACATAAATTACTTCTTTCTATCTGTGATTTGTCCGAGTTGTGAAGGTCAATTCAGTTGTTTATTTTTAAAACGGATAAGTATAATTTTTTACATATTTAGTTAGTAGAGGTCATTTGCAATCAAAATAAAATTAATACAAATACAATATACAATACACATTGCTACCTTAATACTTAAGATGCCGATTACCTTCTACACGATGCATAATAGCAATTTTCAACAAGATATTATTTTGGTTGCAAATGACTATACTAACTGAATATTCACCAAAAAATATACATATTCATTAAAAAAAAAACTAAGTTGATTTTCACGACACGGACAGATTACAGATAAAAAGAAATAATCTACGTGCACCTTGCAGCTGATTTGAAATAGCGTAAATTTCTTTTCTTAAACTGTTTTGTACGTTTAACTATTTACGAAATAGTTGATTGGACATTTACAGACGGACACCCGGTATAATTTCCAAACGATTAACACTTGAGAATAACTGGTTCCTGACAGGGCATAGGTCTTCCTCTGGCGTGGAGAGCGATGCCGACAGTGAAAACTTGCCACCTATTCCGGTCCAGGGCGGCGACTCGTTGGGCAGCCCTTACGAGAACGTCCGGCCAGGGGACGATCTCTCGCCGGCAGAAGGAACGTCGCCCACTCAATGGCAGTTCTATCATAAGCCTCGAGACGACGATCGACGCGTTTCCGGCACTTCCGTCATGTCTTTGTGAGTATCTATTTTCTCCCCTAACATACGTTCTGCCTACGCGCGCGTCTTCGCTTGCTGTGCTCCCTTTTCCTAGATCGTGAACTCTTTTTCTACTTTTTTTATATATGTGTGGTCTTGCGTGCTAATCGGCTCTCAGCCCTGCTACGTGTTGTCTGCGAAGCGGTGCGAGTGTCTTTTCGCATACTCGGTGTAGCTCGAACGTGTTCGGTGTTTTCGGAACATCTATGTACACTAAATTCTCCCTAATCGACGCTCAGCTTGTACACAAAAATGGACAATTTGGGGAGAAGAGATACGATTGTTCGAGCCTTGCAACTCGTTTTTATAGTTGCCGATTGTCAACAACTATGAAAACGAGTCGCAAGGCTGGAATAATCGTATCTCCTCTTTCAAAATTGTGCATTTTTGTTTCCAAGCTGAGCGTCGATTAGGGAGAATTTACTGTATTGGGTCTCTTTAATAATTGGAAAATTGGTGCGATAAATGTACAAATGTCGCAAGCAGAATTGGGTGAAATGAGAGATACAGTAGCGGACAAAAGATTAAGACGAAAAGAAAGGACGAAAGAAACTGGTGAAATTTACTTGAAAATCTTCTTCGGAACGACGACTCTCGTATCGGAATCCATAAGAAAAAATAAGTGAGGGCCCCAGTTACCGTCTCATCGAATATAAGTTTTCGTTCATCTATATATTTTCAGCTGAAATTTAAATAGGAATTCACTTTTCCTTGCATTTCATATTGTTTAGATTTCTAGTTACAAAACAAAATATTTTCCGAACATTGAAGGCTTAAATTTAATATGAAATTAATGAAAACGAAAAATAATGTAAATGTCCCAATTACTGATGCTTTAAAAAGTTACTTGTACCAGTTATCGTGACTTAAATACCGCCAAATCCCAAATATTTTTAATTTGTTTGTCATGCATTTTTGAATATATTTATATGAAATTAACTTTCTATACTATAAAATATAGAAATTTTTATAAAAAAACTTTCTATAAAATATAGAAATTTTACTGAACATAGGGTTTGAAAACAATCGGTACTTCAACAAATTTGTAGGTTATACACAAGAAATCAAAAACGTCGACCAGCTCTATACTGCTTTATTTATTCTAAAACTGTACACGAAATGTCTTTCTTTATAAAGACTAATGCTTTTTATAGTATAAAAGCACTGTTTTAGTCGACTGAAAGCTAACTATTTAAAATTATGACCATTTACATAAATTCGATTCCTTAATTATATGTATAAGTAGTATGACAAAATATCTTTTAATAATTTTTATATAGAACTTACAGTAAACTAATGGAGTGCTTAAATGATTTTATTCTATTAATATAATATCAAATGTTATATTCAAATTTTTTTGTTTATAATTCTTTGTCATATTATTATGATTATCGTTAAAATAAATGAAAGTGACGGTATTTTGGACAACTTCTATAATTGGGATTCTTAGCCTACAATTGAACTTCGACTGCTTCAAGAATAATATTTTTCGTCAATTCCAATTTGTCCAATGTTTATGAGTCATAGCAGATACAAGCTTTATTTTTCGATTTTTTGTACGCTTTGTTGGTTTCTTACGTGATCTTTGTAATTGAAAATGTTGGAACTGTCTTCCAACTATGGCAGCATTGATTTTTATATCATTGTTTACATTTATTTCAGCTGTAATATCAGTTGCAGAACAAAATGGATCCTTTGCGCGCAAGCGGTGGATGGCGATGATCCATTTCTTCAGTTGTTTTTTGCAGTCTGTAACTTTTCAGTCGACCAGAATAAAGGACAGTCTTTATAAATCTGTACCACGCTTGTTTCCAAGCAGTTTATGATCTATTAACTGATCAGTTGCAAATGTTATCAACTGTTATCTTTTGGTTACATAGTCTGACGTCTCGTTCTCTTTCGATGTGCAGTAAATTCGGTGGTTTACCCATACTTTTATACTCGGTAAATGAACTTGAATCAACCAAAGGTACACTACACACGGATTTTGATATTCGTATATTAATATGTCGAGAGATCAGAAACATAAGAACGAATGCGTCTTGCTTAAATTTCGCAGCTCTGTCTTCAAGTTTAAGAGAGTTAAACGTGCATTTGTAGATTTCGAATCGAATGAAACTGAATAAACAAGTAACAATTACACAATATGCGTATAACTGAAATTAATACTCGTCGACTTAAATTTATGAACGCTACTGTAGGTTTTAAAACTGACCAACGGAGAACAAGAGTCTAAAGAATAAGATTCTATATACATATACATATATATAATAAGAGTAATGAGTCTAAAATATAAGATCGTGGATGTGTTGTCTCCGAAAAGTGATACTTAACACATCGCCAGCCGTAGAGAAAAAATTATACAAAGCTAACAACAATTTCGATCATAATTCAACAAATTACTTGTGTTCATATACTGTAGCAATTTCATCGTATTATCGAATTTATTTCTTTATCGGTAAATAAAATGTTAAGGTAAGAAAAACTGTGACAATATGTGCAGTCTTGCCCATGACGCTTCGGTCCAGTTTTTGGTTTCGCTCGAGTCATAGAATTCTAAGAAGTTTTCGCGATGAATGCAGTGCATGTAGAACGATTTGATGTGGTGTTCTTATGCTTGCATCAGAAATCTTCTCTGCGAGAAGTACAGCTGAATACTTGCACAAGTGTCTCACATTTGTCAACAAGTGGGACAACGTTATAATGCGATGAAAAATATCGACGATCAACGCGAGCGTTTACTAAAAATGGATCATCTGTTACAGCACAGTATAGTCATTTTTTGGACATTTATTTAAAATAAGATTAGTGTGTTTTCATTTAGACAGTCATTACACAGTCGTTAAAAAGCTGACCTACCAATAGATTTTTAGTAGGTAAAATGTTAACCATCAAACACTCTACACTAATTATAAACAGTATTTAGGGGTAATATTTCACATACACATTTGTATTTTACAGTACAATTTACAAAATAGTATTTTATTTATAAATGTTTGTATCAACGTTCGAACGGCTGACCTTATTAACAAAAATATAACAGAGTATGCTTAGGATCATTTATTATTTTACTTATTAGCTTTTTTTAGCACATTTAGATACGTCAGAGATTTTATAAATCTTAATGAATCGTGTGAAAATCTACATTAATTGCCAGGAACTCTGTAATCAAATAACAAATATTTTATACTCTGGGTCCAAATGGACCCAAGCACCACCGTTCGAGTGTTCAAGAAATTCATCGAAATTAAATATTTTATTTTATTTATATTATGTTTTTAGCGGTGAATGGAATAGGTTAAATGACCCCTGGCAAAACGTATTCGATCAAATAAATTCAATTATTACCTGTGAAAAATATTATGCGCGGACCTTCGCACAAAATGAAAATTTTCTACTTCGATTACAAGAAACAGGAGCCAAATAGAAATTTCTTCGTGTTTGGTAATTTGGAGTAGTTCGAAGTAATATATCCATATTCTTAAAAATTTTTTAGTAAAAATTTTTAGATTTCACCTACTTATATTTTATTTAAAAATCTACAATCTCGCGATGCTAAATCGAATTATACATATATTAAAAAACGATTAATATAAAAATATATAAATTTAATACTGCTCAAACAAAATAAATAAACAATTAATAACTTTCAAATAGCAGCAGACCGGACGTTTTTAATAAACATATAATTTCACCAATAAATCGTATCGTTTCCGTAACATACTCCTAAATAAACCTTCAACAGCCTTCAACCACGATCCTGATCGAGTACATTCTGCCAGGGATGCCATAACCTAAGCTATCTACGAAACATCAACGAACATTTGAAGTATTCCCATGTTCCGAAAGAAAGCTAAAACCCGAGTGAAACCTAGTATTTCGATCGGTAACAACGAGCGTACGCCAATCGACACACCAGTTAGAAACGAATCGGAGCGTCGATGATCGGCCATGTTTCACTTGCCGAAGAAAATGAACAGGGGAACGACAAACCGGAAAATAAAAACCGTGCCTACAAATCGCACAAAAGAACGACATCGTTCGTTAACGACCAATCGCGATACTCTTCGACGACAGCGACGTTGACGATGACGCATCGCGTGCAACGCGACCGAGTATTATGTGCAACGGTTGTACGAACTTCGAAGGAACAAAACGAAACGAACAAACGAAAAAAAGGAGGAGGGTTGAAAGGGAGACAGAGAGAGGTAGAGATAGAGATAGAGAGAGCGAGAGAGAGAGAGAGAGAGCGAGAAAGAGAGAGTGAGAGATAGATAGAGAGAAAGAGAGAGTGAGAGATAGATAGAGAGAAAGAGAGAGTGAGAGATAGATAGAGAGAAAGAGAGTGAGAGATAGATAGAGAGAAAGAGAGAGTGAGAGATAGATAGAGAGAAAGAGAGAGTGAGAGATAGATAGAGAGAAAGAGAGTGAGAGATAGATAGAGAGAAAGAGAGAGTGAGAGATAGATAGAGAGAAAGAGAGAGTGAGAGATAGATAGAGAGAAAGAGAGAGTGAGAGATAGATAGAGAGAAAGAGAGTGAGAGATAGATAGAGAGAAAGAGAGAGTGAGAGATAGATAGAGAGAAAGAGAGAGTGAGAGATAGATAGAGAGAAAGAGAGAGTGAGAGATAGATAGAGAGAAAGAGAGAGTGAGAGATAGATAGAGAGAAAGAGAGAGTGAGAGATAGATAGAGAGAAAGAGAGAGTGAGAGATAGATAGAGAGAAAGAGAGAGTGAGAGATAGATAGAGAGAAAGAGAG